TCGGGGGTGCCAACCCTCGAGATTGGGTATGACTGGCTGATGACGGCTAGTAGGCCAGAAATAGTCACTCCAGTCTACCTTGTCTTTGTCCGTTTCACTCTATAGGGCATTATATTGTTTTAAATTAATTATTAACTGCTCCTAGTAAGCTGAAGTTACTGCCTGTCCGGGATATTCAAACTAAAACAGGTAAGCAGTTAATAGAAAGAATTGGGTCAGTGTTTAGTTTACAGAACCCCAAAGACTTCAGATGGCTCTGGTGTGTGGCGACATAAACAAGGTTGCATACACAAGCTACACTCACTGAAATATGATAGGTGTCAAAAAAGGCGAAATAAAAATCATATGGCCGTCCATCAGCGTTCGATAAGCGTATTCGAATAATCCCACGAAGGCGGAATGGAGTCTAACTAAATCACTCCGTATGTCAAGGGGTATCCGAGGTCTTAGCCTGTTTTCTCGTACTGCTCGGTCAAACAAGATAAAATCTATAATAACTACAGGTCGATAATATTAACCGACTTTTGTGCAGCCACAAAGAAAGCAATTACATCTGACAAACTGGTCGGCAGCTAGAAACGCGAAAGTGTGAGTATCTGTTGACAGTTCAAAGGTTGGACCGAATGTTGGGTATATTGATCCACACTGCTCATAGGAAGCACTTTTTAAACATTGACGTCGTCAACATTGTAAGCCAAGGAACATCAAGCCGGCATGTTAATTGGCTCTTCAGTCGACCTTCAGATAAAGTTTCCTCCAACCTATCTGGTTTTTTCGAGCAAACTGGACAGAAGGGGTCAAAAGTCTAGGGTCGCCAACTTCTCCCACAATTGGCGAGGCTGACATGGACCGCGGTAAAAAGGATGTTCTTACTTACCCATATAATGAGAGCTGTTCAATCTATCGAGAATAAGTGCCCGTCAAGTCACCTTTCGAAACGTCAAAGCAGAAATAACTGCCTTCGGTAAAATTCTCCCCTTCTTTTAACATAAATATATCCCGTTACCGCTTTCTATGATACCTTTTGACCGCAAGTTATAAAATGATTCAATTTATATATCTGTTGCTGCAAAGGAGTTTCCATTTTAATGATATGGCTTTATATCCTTCTATATTAGTTGTGTGGTCGTCATAGACGCAGCACAGTCTGTGATTTTCACAGAGTAGGGAAGTAGTACTAACTGATGGTATGGCGGATTTTTCCCGGAGTGAAGCTACTGTGTCCTAATTGAAACTGCAGGTAAGTACAATGTGTGATAAACATCGCGCGTTTTCTACAGTTGCTGGAAAAAGTATTTTTCATTCTGTTTTTTTTAAATAAAAGACCAACTATATCTGGCTCTCTATTACTTTGTGTCCTTGTAAAAGAAATCAGTAAAATATATCGGTTTTTGTAGGTGAAACAAAATTTCAACCGTCGACTTCGGCGAGGTCTACAGTGTGCTCCATATAATACTAGTTAAAAGGATGACATGTGCGCAGGTTAGTTTTAAATGCTAGAGGACTTGCGCTTCAGATACCGTACCCTCAAGACTGAGCCAAGAACCGAGTCCAAGTGACCGGCGCGGCGTGAGTCTGCATCTAGGCGTGCCACTACGCCGCCCCACATTCGGCATTGTTTATGGGAACGTAACAAGAGTACGCCTGCCGTGCCTTGATCTACCACACAACAGAGAGAGCCTCGTACCGATAGCTTGCCAGAAAGACTGTTGGCGAGATAGTAATTGAAACCGAAACCACTGTAATTAGCTTTTAGGTTGCGTGCAATTCGACAGTTTAATCTAAGTGAGTAATAGTGCATTGGAAGACTGGTTATATTCACCATTCAGGCTCTTTCGGAGGAAAGGAACGGGATATGGACGAAAAGACCCAACTGTTAAGCGAACCGTCTTCGCCACCACAGCTTCAATTTGTCGGAAGATGTTCTATACAAATTTATTCAAATAAATCTATCCATTTTGTAAAAATTACCTGGAATGCAATCGCCCGCACTTGTGTTTTTGGTATGAAACTGGTCGATTCCAGTTTATCCGTTGCTACATCGTATACGATATTGATTTCCTAATATCGTTGCAAAATATATGAGTAACAGGGTGTTATAAGCTTGAAGAGACGCATCTTGGTATAATAAAATTCAAATGGAAAAGAATTAGGTCGGGATAAATTAGGCTATTTCAATATCGACGCATATGTCATTGAGCAATAATTGAGGCCTATGGTCTGTGTTCGTTATATAATAATTGAAAAAAATATCAGTGGAGAAGGAAAGAAAACTCTATTTTAACACGTATACTGTAGCTAGTATTGAGGGCAAGACACGCGAAATGGTGTCACCCCAGCAATCGAGGCGGCTTTGTGATTATTCCTGGAAGGGTACCCAATTCAGTGTCCTGATTCTAACTTAAACACAAAAGCCGAACCTTAACCTTAACCCGTACTCTTATCTCGCTGGAATTTAACGCAAGGCCATTTGTATTAGGAGGGTGGTTCTTGGTCATTTGCCTTGCTATGTAGCGGTTGATCAGCCAAAGCTAACTGCATTTCTTCCTCGGGGTTTGTGACTCCTAAGTGATTGTCTGTCGATTAGGCATCACTCGAAGCGCTGTCGAAATAGATAACAGACCACAATCACCGCGAAAGACTTTGTCCAGTAAACAGATCCGGCGACTGCGCCTATAGTTCCTAGCGTTTAGTATTCTAACTCATTCAAAGCCCAACACCCGAACCATTGCTAGTCTTCACGAAATATTCTGTTGGCTCGCATAGTCCGCACCATAGAGGACTGCTGCCTTGCTAACCAGTTTTACCGTCGATGGGCTCATTTAAACAGTTCGCAACGCTTGCGAGACGAAATAACGTTTGTCTTTGCTGTATCGCGAGCTCAGAAAGAATAAAATAACCCCATATGTACCCCCAATTACGACATTTTTCTTTAATCAATTAATAATAACGCCCAAATACTCCAAGCTTTGCACAACAAATCATGCATGTACATGGCACGAGTTAAATTCATACGAAATTTGATTATCTCAAAAATGCAAAAGACAAATTTATCCAGTGTTTGCTATTCAAACTGTAGAAAAAAATTACTTCTTTAACGGCACCGCGCTTAAATTCGACAATTATTTGACGACTTTTTTCCATTATTGTGTTTACCAATATAAGGCTAGTGTTTACTGATGTCGTGTATGAGGCCCATTGCACAGAAAGCAATGTCTCCGAAAAAAATTTCAGATATTTACGCACTTATTATTCTGTTTCCCTAAATGTGCTTCTGGTAAAACATGAAATTATTTGCATCCAAAGCGGAAAAGGGGAATATTTCATACACTGGTAAGGGAACTATTTCCTAAAATGTGCAACTTCGCCAGTGCTCTTTATTTGGGGTGTTGATCCTGTCCACAGAGGCAGTCAAATGCTTACAGGACAGAACTCTAAACTCAGATGTTATTTTCGTTAACAGAAGACACAGAGGGGAACCGTCTGAACCAGCAGGTTGAGTACGTTTTGCCTTTCCTTTCCCGTAAAAAACCAAGGCTGACTCGCAGCTCATTCAGAATCTTCGTAATGAAATTCGCGCCGTAGTCTGATAAAAATGATTAAAAGATCACATGATGAAGTACGAAAAACTTCGCTGGAAACTGCCCCATTCTTGCTAAAAAAAATCCGGTGTTTCACCAAACACCAAACGTCAGGATTGTACTACCGATGCTAAGCGCGGACTTAGAAAATTATTTTTTGACAAGATGCTAAAATTCAGGCCATTAACATTTATATTGCAGTTCCAAAAGGGTGCCATGGAGGAGACTGCAAGGTATATAAGAGAGAAACATGAAAGGTCCCACCTTTTGATTTCCATTAGAAAGTAGATAAGCGTACGTGACTACTTTACACGGAAATCCATTAGACTGAAAACAAATTGGTATTTTTGTCCCGTTTCGTCCATCAATAAATACAGTTGTCTAAAAGATAAAATAAACACGACGGATATTTCAAAATTCAGGAAGTCTAGCTTGAAGATTTTCATCAAATGAAGTTATCAAAAGTTCCCCAAGAGGCTCATGCCGGCTATTTCGTGAATCTTCCTTGGGAGAATGTTTATTATGTTTGGATGACAAAACAGTTTATAGAGAAGGAGAAGGCGTTTCGATCACTGTAATCATAATTTTACTCGCCTGAGCAAACGGGCGCTTACTGGAGTCCATCGTTAAAGGTAAAAAGCATTAACCAAAGACTAACGACAGTTATAGGAGACAAGGGCCAATCAATCGTTATAGTGGGGAGGGGGGAACGTTCAACCACC